GAAACTATTCCAGAGTAGGTGCTCTTCTGATACCAAGGGTTGTGTCACTACTGCTTTTTCAATCATATGGCCAAGTCTGTCAACCAATGCCATTTGAAGTCCATGCATACTGTCCATTCAAACTGTTTGTCATAGTGTTTAAGATGCACAGCAAAATTCTCACTCTTTGCTGATAGTTACTGAAAATGGTACTGAGAAAATGAATGGATTTCAGAAGAGGAATTATAGGGGCTTATTAATTTTGTTTCCTGTCTAATTTTCTGTGGTTTCTGATGGACATACCACACTATCTGCCCAGGACTTTGAGCTATGAATTCGGGTGGAGGTGGAACTGGATAAGTACATGGATTAACAAGGAAAGCACCACAAAGCTGTCGTGTATAACTGATGCAGACACACGATTTCCAAAGAGTTAAGCCGTTGCGCCTGTTACAGAAAAATGAAAAGGATGTGACATTTTGTGTCGACATGGCTGTGGGGACTGACTGTCAGCTAACACACTTTGCGAGCGTTAGCTCCCAGTATTGACAAGATTATATTGCACTTAAAAATGCATTAATTAAAATGCGTTAGCTGGCAAGTCTTAAAACAACAAAACTAAACCACAAACCCTCTGAGTATATGTCCCAGTTTTTATAGAACAGAATATTCCATTTCATGCTGAGAGAAAATTATTCTATGTTGATGACTTACTGTTGATGAATATTTAAAAAAAGAAATATCAAAGCCTCTGTAAAAACCCATCTTTTTCTTCAGGAGCAGATAGTGCCAAAATAATGCCATTTTGTGTGTATAGACTGCATTTTGTTTAAGTAAGCTGGTCACATGCAATCTTTTCTCTCCTTCTACAGCCTATCCATGTAATGAGCAATACCAAGTTATGTGATTTCAATCAGATCTTTATTTACTGTTGAAGGGATACTGCAAACAAATAGTTAATTGAGAAAGAAAGTAAAAGTAAAAGACATGATCAATACTGTAACAAGAAAAAAAAAATGCAGATGTAGAGTTTCATTAGGAAAAAGTTTGGCAGAAATCAGTTTTACTTGGATATGACAAAGGTATTAATTACAGTTGCTTGGATAACAATAATATAATAATTTGTAAACAAAAATCAAATTTAAAAAAAGTTCAGCACAAATAAGTTGTTAACAGAAGAGTGAAGAAGCACTGTGCAATTTATAGGAATCCCACTTGTCTTAGGACAAGTCCAGCCAATTCATGAACAAGATATTACTGATCCTGTATGTAGGTATATTATTCCGTTACTGTTTGTTGGTTTGGGTTGTTTGTTGTTTTTTGTTGTTTTTTTTTTTTAATTCTGGCAATGAGTAGAGTATCCTTCCCTGTGATTTGAATGATACTTATTATTACTGCCTACCTACCTGCAACTTTTGGTATAATACTTCAGGGTCCCAAAGATGGGAACTTGTTCCTGTTTGTATAGAGCATCATTACAAACATCCTGGGTTTTACAGATCAAGATATTCAGCCACTGGCTGATGATTTCTCTGGCCTGTTATCAGGTGCTCTCCTTCCTAGAAGGCCATTGGCGTCAAAGGGTGGGTCAGATGTGTTGCTTTAGCAGTAGTGTCCTGCTTGTGGCCATTTTCTTTTCCAAGGGCTTTATGGTTCCTCCTCATCTTTTGATGGGCTATGGCGTGGTAAAAGAAGAGCTATGGGGCTCCCAGGATAGTTGGCAAGTGGAGCAGGGCAGCCACTGCTGGAATGATTCATTCTGCTCCCTGTCCAGATACTCATGAATTGCTCCAATGGTTGCAACCGCCGCCAGCTTCTTCCTTCCCAAGAGCTCCTCAGTTGCTGGCCAACAGGCAGGACTTGTGTGTGTCTCTGCGTGTGTTGCAGTTGATCTATGGGTGTGTAGTAAATCCAACACTTCGGGACTGTGTGTGGGCAGGTGGATGTACAGTGCTTTCACGGTAGGTATGGGCATGATCCAGAGGTGGAATCACAGCATATACTTTTCTTCCAGCTTCTCAAGACAGGTAGGTCATCCACCTAGCCGGAGGACCAGGGCACTCCTGGTGTAGGGATTCCTTTTTACTTTCATTAAAACAGAAAACATGCCAAAAAAATAAGAGATCCTCAAGTAAGGGAACATTAATGCTTTCAGCATTAATTAAGCACTCAGAAGATGGGATAAGACAATTAATTAGTCATACATGTGCAGCTCTGCTCCCCATTGCACTGAAAAAATTATTTTCCTTTAACTTAAATTACTACACACTAATTGCCTAATGTATTGTAGTATTTTTTCCTTATGTGTTTAGATAATTGTTTTTAACAACAGGTGACAGAAAGTAAATACAAATTTTGCGTAGAACCTTCTACTCAGCATATTAGATATGGTGAACAGGAGGAAGAACAAATTAAATCTTGTGAAAAGTTGCACCAGCTGACTGCGTCACTGTGCTTATAGGCTGGTCACAGTGTGGCCATGTAAGCACATTTATTATTGTCTGAGCCTGCTTGATACTTTCTTTGTATTGAAGAATAGGGAACAATTTGCTATATAAAATAGTTTGGTAGAGGTCTATTAGGGCTGCATGAATAAAACCAACAACTGACTTTCAACTCATATATAACCTTTATTTAACGTATTTTATATTATTTTGAATAGATCACTTCTGGTGCAGAACTTACCTGACATACCATCAAAAACTAAAAATCTTGATAAATCCTGCATATCCTGGGAGACACTTCCCATTACCGCAAAGTAAAGACACATGGTATTTCTGATCCTGTGGGAAGACCCGTACAGACCAGTCTCTGAGGCTGTAGAGAGCCCTGCTCATAAGAACATAATCACACAAATTCTGCCCACATACCATTTTTTTAAAAAACATGTTAGTTTTGAGCTGTTGTCATTAAGATTTGGGAGTCATCGACATTGACATTTATGCTTGTTTCTGTCAGAGAGCTGTTGAACTCAGGAACATAATGTCCAGTGAACCGTCTCATGAAGTAATGGCTTGTCTGTGTCACTTGATTTTTAAGTAAAACACAACAGTAATTTAAAAACTTTTGGTTTCTCCCTGTCATCCTGAATAAATTGCATAAAATAGGAATGCTCGTATTCATCATTCTTCTGCTGCTTTACAGTATTAAGATATTTTAATTACTGATAGTAGCCACTACGTGAGCATGTGGACTTCAACATTTTTGAGTCACCCTGATGCTGCAAAGAATTATGCATACACATAGCTTTATGTTGTTTACATAATCTACTGGATGTGAATAGCACTATTTTCCAGAAGATAAAAAAGGGTGAAGAAGCAGTAGTAGAGTACTACACTAAGGTAAATAAGCACTTTGAGTTTCTAGATAGTAACTCACAGTACAGTCATCTTCTTAAAAAATAAAAAATATTCCAGCAGTTACCTGGACCTAACTTCTTTTAATGTACTGACTGATATTTTGCTGAGAGAACAGCCTGTTGGATAGCTGAGTTGTCATCTTATTTCATTAGGGGGTGTTTGTAACAGGACGTGCTGTCTTTGTGTGGTAACTGGCAGTAAAAGCTGGCGATTTTGTGGCCATTGAAGAAAAGTAGGGTGGTATTACTGCTCTTTGCAGGCCTGTTGGCATCAGTAGCTTTTCCTTCAGCTTAAACATCTTTGATCAAGGCCTTGGCATGGAGTGGAGTGTTTATATTGGAACCAGCAGAGCTCTGTGCATGGCAGTACCTCAGCAGGGCACATTTCTTCTTCAGCAGTTCACCTTTTGATGAACGTGCCTGTGATGATGCAGGGAACGTGTTTCCCTCGCAGAGGCTGAGAGTGCTCGGTTGCAGTTTGGGTAACCTTGTCTTATTGTGTGAGTGTGTGGCATGGCTCTAACTTATTTGCAACTGAGACCAAATGCCAGATGTGTCAGATAAATTAATCATTTCTAATAAGTTGTGTTGTATTTATTGCCCAGTGAGAAAACAGAGGAGTTGCTTCTTTTTAAAATATCAGAACCTTGTCACAAAAAGCTTCAAATTACTTATATTTTTTTTTAGTTAGGCACTAAGTAACCTATTCAACACTGTCTCATTCATCAGGTGAGTTCTTCAGGAAAAGACATCCTGTCAGGTGAAGCAGACAAAGCTATGAGCAGCATTGGTACTGTTAATGACTCAAGAGAATGACTGCAAGGCTTGTAAAATGACACATTATTATCTAGCAGGCATTGATCATAATTATATCACTGATAAAGACAAAACATATCAAATGTTGTGTTTTAAATTTGCCCTTCAATGAAAGGAAACAAATATCATTGAAATAATTTCAGTGATAGCTGTGTGATCCTTCTGAATGCAAAATGGAAAGCTTTTGCGTGTCCTTGGGATGAAAGGAGTTACCACTCTAAGCTATTCACTTATTAATTTTCATTTAATACTTATGGTATATCAGACATTATAGATCTTTCACCATTTTGCTTCATGACAGTGCAGAACTCTGATACCTATGCTCTGGGTAAAATGTAATTCCCTGGTTTACCTGCCTGCTTGGGTTGAACTGTGGAATCTTAATTTGCTGTTGTGGTTTCCATGATCCTTTGCTCATCATATTGTGGTTACAAGGAACACATTGTGCATACAGCATAGCCTTCATCTTCTTAAGGCAGAGTACAGACCCTTTCATCCTTGCAAAATGAGTAATTAAACTAGGATTTTAATATTTGTGTTTGCTTTTGGGTTTATTAAATCTGACTGTGAAAACTAAACCAATTATTTTGTGTGTTCCATCTGACTAGCTCTTGAAAAAACGGACCAGAGTTTTCCATATATCTGTTCTATGGCTTTAAGCTTGTTGTAGAAATGGACTGTACTCTGCCAGTTGGATGGGTGGCATTTTTGTCATTGCCAACTTGAGGTTTACATAAGGACCAGCAAAACTAGGGAAGCTGTTTGTCACTGTTAAGGTGCTACAGTGTAATGCAATTCTTCTATTGTACCTGCCTCACCTGAGTTTATTTTTTTGTTGTTTCCGCAGACTCCAGAGGAAGGAGCCTCTACAAGCATCTATGCAGCAGTATCGCCCGAAATGGAAGGAGCTGGTGGCTGTTACCTTTACAATGAGGAAAGGACAAAATCGGCTGACGTATCATATGATGAGGAGCTGCAGAGAAGGCTCTGGACAGAAAGCTGCAAGATGGTTGGGATTTTTGATGAATCCAGCAGAGTTCCCTAGAAAAAGCCACTTCCAGCTGGGTGAATGAAATGCATTGACAGGCATCTTAGGTGAATTCTTGCAGCATCAGCCATCATCCTGGAAATCACTGTTCAATCCCAAAGGCAAACATGAACAGCTCTGTTCTTCACTTGAACCCCTAGTCTGCTAGGGTGTGGGGGGAGTATTCCCACAGAAAGATGTAGTGGTTGGTTTTAAATCTAACCATCAGTTTTGTAAATCATGATGTTTCAGTCTGTGATTAAAATACAATCTTTAACCTTGTGCAGAGTTGAGTTTTCATTTTTTGTTCAACATAAGAAAAAAAGACTTTCCCCGGCAAGCACGTTGCGTCTGTGGCGTGTTGAATTTAAGCCACCTTTGTACATATAACTTACACTTTTTTAATCAGTTTTAAAAGTTGCAGCTTTTTTTCCTTAGACTTCATTAATCTTTAAGACACTTCATAATGAATGTCAGCTTGTTCTAATGCAGACATTTGGCATTCATCATCTTTCTGTTGTTTCTATCATAACGTTAGTTTTATATGTCAACTTCTATCCAGAGGTTTTAACTGAAGGTCAGAACCAAAAAAAATGTAAATAAATAAGATCTTCAGACAGGATATTGAATGCAATTGTTTTCAGTTCGAGTTCAGCTCTCCTTTAAAGGCAAGCCATAAGAACGAGGAAGGGATCAAACATAAGAAGGATGACACTGATTTGGCAGAGGACACAGGTAGCCTGTTGTCTCGGCAGTAGGCTAAGATTACTTGCCACCTTTTCTCCTGAACCCGTGCAAACTTGCATCTGCAACTTCTTGCATTTTCTTTGGCAAGGAGATTCACTCATCTACTGCCTGTTGCATGAAGAATCACCTCCTTTCGTTGGTGTTGAACGTAGTTTATATGAGTGTCAAAACTAGAGTTCATGGTTCGGAAGAGATAGTGAACAATTAATGCCTGTCTGCTTTTTCTGCATTGCAAAGGGTTTTGGAGACTTCCAGCTGTCCCCCGTAAACTGTCTCTTAACCATGTTGAAGAGCAGCTTCTGCCTATTCATCCAACTTACACAGCAAAACCAGGATATTTTCACTTTTGTAATGTATTTCTTAAAATTTTCTAACAACTCTTTTCTTTTTAATTTTATTTGAGTGTCTCTAAGTGTGGAGATGATATTTTTTATGAAACTGTTTTGGGTAAATCCCAAGATTTCTCTTCTGAGTGGGACAGTGGTCAGCTCAGATGCCATCGATTTTGAACATACTTCAGTGTGTACAGTCAGGGAGCTCGAAGTGAAGCTTCAAGAATGATGTTCACACTCATGGAGGAAAGAGAAAAACAGACATGTGGCAATATAAAGATAAACTGAGTTTCTACAAGCTCAAATAACTAAAAGAAAAAAAAAAGATTGAAGATAAACACAACATTTTAATTGGGAAGGTGATAAACCATGATAATAATTTACAGAGAAGCTCCTCCTGGAAGTTTCAGTCAAGATTAGAAGTCTTCCCAAAACATCTAGAAGGTTCTGGAGGGACCTTATAGCAGCCTTCCAGTACTTAAAGGAGGCCTACAGGAAAGATGGGGAGGGATTCTTTGTTACAGAGTGAATAGTGATAGGAATAGGAGCAATAGTTTTAAACTAAAAGCGAATTGATTTAGATTACTTATAAGGAAGAAATCCTTTACTGTGAGAGTGGTGAGGCACTCACACAGGTTGCCCAGAGAAGTTGTGGATGCCCCATCCCTGGAGGTGTTCAAGGCAAGGTTGGATGAGGCTTTGAGCAACCTGATCTAGGGGAAGGTGTCCCTGCCCATGGCAGGGTGCTTGGAACTAAATGATCTTTAAGATCCCTTCCAACTCAAACCCTTCTGTGATTCTACAATCTCTCCTCAGTGAGAGAAACTTTCCAAGCATGGACTCTGTGATTAGGGAGCCTGAGCTCTTGCTGTTAATGGAGTAAGCTCTACCCTACTCCCATCTCATTCATTTTCGGTGTCATCTGAAAAAGCGGCATAATACTATACATGTCCTTGCATTTCTTTTTTTGAGATATACACAACAAAAGAGGCCAATAGATGAACATAAAGCTTATATTCACTTTGGGGCACTGGAAAACACTGCATGGCAGAACTAAATGCAAACACAGCATTGTGCTCTCATTTGCAGCAGATTAGAAACAATATGAACATGTTCCTATGCACTGACCCCCAGACTAATATCCCTTTTGGGCTTTTTAGCTCAAACCTGGTACTTCACTGACCTTATCTCCAGCCTTTGGTTCAGAAAGAGATCACATCTAACTGAAAGAAAGCATACTAACATGACCAGAGAGTAGCAAGGAGATGCAAAGACAAAAAAAAAATAAAAATAGTATGACTAAAGAAAAGCAGATGAGAACAAAAATAATAAAAAATCTGAAGGAAAGCATATTTTCCCTCTGAATTAATCCATGCATGATTTATTCCTAGCTTCTTGGAGTTAGTATATACAAAGATTAACAGCAGGAAATTTATCACTCAGTCACTATAGCACTTTCTCTGTATGACTGGCTGACTGTTTTTTTGGTAAGTGAATGTAGTGCTTGTGAAATGTGCCAGACTGACACTCCGGGAACTGAATTCCTCTGTTTATTCACGGATCATGCACAGGATGCAGTAAGCCTGCTAGACAGCCAACATTTTGATGTTGCCATAGCATTCCCACAGAACATCATTGCTGCTAGAAGTATGTCCAGGATTACTCAAACGAGATGGGACCAAATTACCTTCGTTTTTAACTCTTTCGAAGCTCCACAATATTTGCACAACCAGTTTAAAGTGGCACAGCGATGGGTAAAATAGCAAACAGTAGAAACAGCTAGTCAGGCTTTCAGTGAAATCTGAACCACTTTGTTAGTGGTCTCATCCAATGAAATCTGTTTTAAACAACACTGGAAACACGGTTTGTGAGAACTAAGAACATAGATTGTGCCTGCATGGGGGGG